AGTGGAGTGGCTTAGTGACCCTTTTAAGATGACCTTTTATAAACTGAGACTCCCAGCATTTAAACAACAAGGAAGCAGAGCAGCTCATTGACATTTCTACTGATTCAACATTGAAAGCAAGATTCCAGTCTCAGACAGTGCTACAGTTTTAGTGTAGTATTAAAGATGAATATCCAGTGATCAGAAGAAAGCACTCTGTGCTTTGATTCTGTTCGCTACCTCTTATCTTTGTGAATGTGGTTTTTCTGCAGTAGCTGTAATAAAATTGAAGTATAGAGTGAAACTCAACATCAAAAATAAAGTGTGTTTCAATATTTAAAATAACAACAAGATCCCATAAACTAATTAAGGATAAACAGGCTCATCCTGCTCATTAGGACAGTGAAATAGAATACAAATATATTTGTATTTGTTTGTAATAATAAAAAAAATGTTCTTTGCATTTAAAAAATGAGATAGATTTTTATATAACAGATATTATGTATTATCTGAGTATGTGAAATGATTTATTTTTTATGCTCATTAAGAATTCTGAAAATGAAGATCAAAGAATATGCCACTTTTATAAATATAAATACACACATAAATATGCTGTAATTTTTTTTTGCTACATTAAATCTCTTATATCTCTAATGTTACTGAACTTCATTTCTCTACTTATAGTAGTAACCTACCCAAAAATAAATACAAGAATCAGAGTTTACCTGACTTATACTTTCATCTCTGACATGAGGGCCCATTGGTATATGATCAACAGGGAGTGGGAACCACAAGTTTCAAAAGTTTGGGAACCATTGATCTATTAAGCAAATAAAAAGTGCAAAAATAAATTTAAGCAAATATATAGATTGTAAGATTTAAATGATGAAAAAAAAAAGACAAATTGAAAAAAATTATTATTCAGCTGAAAAATAACTTTAAAAAATGAATAATTTATTAGAAATATCTTACTCAGCTCCTAAAAAAATAAATCATCCTACACCTGATGCTGAGAAAACGTTTATTAAAGAAACATTAATGTTTTCTACCTAATATGATAGGCCATCTTCAGATGCAAGTATTCTCGAATGTATTTAACTTAATATTTAAATGTCAGAACGTTCAAATACTTTTACGTTTAAATATAAAACCAAAATACTGAATAAAATAATAAATAAATAATAAAATAAAACAAATATACAAAACAAACTAATACAATAACGAAGTAAAAGTATTATCCTGTATGGCACAAGCAGAGGACTCTGTGGTTAAATGAAATGAAGCAACTATCCTCAGGACTATGTGTTCTCCATATCGGCAATGCACAAAGAAAAAATCAAAACATATAAAAGTAAATTAAAAGATGCTTGTATTAACACAAGAAATGTGGATGGACTAGCTTCTGCATGGAAGTTCTACATAAAAGAAAAACTAAAATGCAAAAATTCTTAGCCCGCACCTGCCCTTATACTTAGTGGCATTTTTGTGTATTTATTTTATTTTTATTTTACATATGTTAAATTTATTTTTTTACATTATTTACATCGTTATTGTATTAGTTCGTTTACTATATTTGTTTTATTTTATTATTTATTTGTTACTTTATCCAATATTTTGGTTTTAAATTTAAATGTAAAAGTATTCAAATGTTCTGACATTTAAATATTAAGTTAAATACATTCGAGAATACTTGTATCTGAAACATTTATTAAAGAAACATTAACATTTTCGACCTAATATGATAGGATGGCCTATCATATTATGTCGAAAATGTTAATGTTTCTTTAATAAATGTTTTCTCAGCATCAGGTGCTGGATGATTTATTATTTAAGGAGTTGAGTAAGATATTTGATTATTTTTTAGTTTTTTGATTGTTCTTTCAACTTAATATATGGAAATGTTATGGGATGAAGATTTTTATGCTGTTATGTTTATATGTAGATGGAATTAAGGTCAGATATGTTTAAGGTCAGATGGAATTACCTATTTTCAAATGTTAAAATTCATTAAAAGATCTCCACTGTATATACAGAATTTAGATACAAATATTGCACCAGGACACATCTTGCATCTGCAATGTAATAACTAAATGCAATTGCATTAGAGTGCAGATAATCAGTAGTGAGTTATTTGTTGATTCAAGTACCATGCACCCAAACAAAAGTTTGGGTGCATGGTACCTTTTGTTTGGAATCCTATCTCAAGTTTTATGAAAGATAATGGCATAGTCATAGTCATACAAAGTCATAGAATATTTCAAGACCAGTAACAAGCCAAGATTTTTTTTTGTACAGTTAAAATACTCAAAGAAGTGGCTGGATACCATCAAAAAAATGAGTGGTGAAACCATGTGAGGTATGTATTTAATAAAAATATTGAAAAGATTGCAAAGGGCTCTTGCTCAACTTTCCCAGCACTCAAATGGAAGGTTAAGGGAACCAGGAAGTCCAATAATTTTCAATTACATTACAATATAAAATTTAAATAATAATAAATGCTTAAATAAATAATAATTTAAATAATAATAAAGGAATAATTTTGTTTAATTGTGATAAAAATCTCTTTTAAAAAAAACACTAAGACATTAGCTCAAAGTTAAAATTGTATGTGGTACCATCTTTTAAGAAATTTTATTTAAAATAATTTTTATATTATTAGTTATTATAAAAAGGCAAAAAACTAGTTTTGACAGTAATGATAAGATTTAAAAAATATTGTAAATGCCAATAATGAGTAAAATTTTCATTAAGTTGATCCCACTTGAGATATGATACACAACTCCTCTCTCTCTTCATTCTCTTGACCTTTAAACTCAAATTTAATAGCCATCAATGCCCCATGTATAAAAATAATCCTGCCAAGTTTCAAACTTTTGGTTCATCCAACATTGACATATAATGCAAAATAATATACCAAAACACACACAATTTTATATGGTGTTCTATTTTACATTTTTGGGCTCGAGTGTCAAAATATCAAGAAATGCAAAATGCAAAACCAGGAGATCAAAATTTGACTAGTCACCATACTTTATGTTATATTCTATAACATCTGGGAAAGTAATATTGAATAATTTGATATTAATATACTTACTTTAAAAGTATTTTCTAAATCACTGTAAGTTCTTTCTGTGATTTTTGCTTTTAAAGCAGAAAGGACTAAATGTTTATGACTATCAAGATGATCTCTTTCCAAAAGTAACTTCATTTCTCTTAATTCTTGCAAAAATTCTCTGTCCATTTCCATAGCAGTTTCTTCATATTTACAATCTAAGAAATAAAATAATCTAAAAAATTACAATCTAAGAAATAAAATAATTTTTAATTATTTTTTATATTTAAAAACTATTTTAAGCAGATTTAAATAAATACCTGTTTTCATACAAGACCAATTAGACATCATCTGATTTGCACAATGTAGAAAATCATTGAATGTTAAATACTGTAATTTTCTTTTTCCTGTTTCAAATCTGTTATTTGTAAGATACACAACAGCTGCATACTTTCTATAAATTAATATATCAGTATTTCAAAAAAAGAATATGTTTTGATAAATATATCCAATCACATGTATGTAATTTCTATTTTTTAAAGTACTAATAATAATCAACATAAAAGTGCACTTTCAAAAATAAATTATTTTTGATAAAGTATATATTATTTACATTAATAGCAGAATAAATAACAGGAATTGCAACTTAAAATAAATTGTCAGCTATTTTAAATTTTAGTGATTTAACAAAAAATATGTTTATAAATTATTATAAAATTAATAAATGTTAGCATGATTTCTCAAATATGAAATTACATACTGAAAGAATCAGATGTATTAAAAAAAAATCATTGCAAAAATAAAAAATTTAAAAACATTTGAGATCTTGCAGATTTGTGAAATAAAAATAAGATGGTTCTAAAGTCTGTATACAACTTTATACTTTAATACCTGAAGATGTAAAATGTTAAAACTATTCTGTAAATAATACTTGAGACCCTAACTTTTGAAGTTTTGTTTTTATCTGATAATTTTATCAATATAGAATTTATTTATTTACAGAAAATAAAAAACTTAACATTCCACATATAACAAATTAATAAAGGAATACTTTAATGGAGTGACAAAATATGAAAAGCAACAAACTTCATGCATTTAAAACTGTTGTCCTAAAAATGGCTAATACATAAACTTAGAAACTAGCATAATTTCCTCTTTCATAGTGTCACCAAGGTAATAGTATCAGACAAGAGAAAGAAGAGTTCCCAAAATGATGAGATGAGCTTAACTCCAACGGATCTTTCTTTATAGTTGGAATTTGGAGATTCAATTCTCCTTGCAGACACACTTTTTCCAGACTTTTATTCATCAATATATGAAACTTTATTTTAGTTCTACAATTTACACAATTTTATTAACAAAATATTAATAGTTTATACAGCATAATATCACGATAATACTGCAATATACAGCATACAATAATGAAACACTGTAGTAAATATTTGCTTCCACTCTGCCATTTGTATCAGTGATATATGGTTTGTACTGTACTGCACAAACCATACACTGTACATTACATTATGTTTGTACATAACGTACAAACATACTGTACATTAGCCAATGAAAACAGTGTGTTATATATGTTCAATTTTACTTTAATAATAAAAATTATCTCTATGTTAAATAAATTAAATAAGTCCATCAAACCCAAGCTTTATATGAAAATATTTGTCTGATGGAATTTTAATAGAAACTAGCATAATTTCCTCTTTCATTTTATAGTGCAGTCTCTATAATTTCACAATTTCTGATTAAAAAAATTGATATCTTATAAATTTCATACTATCACAGTTGTTGTTAAGAATGCTGTTCCACTTGTCTACTACTATGGTAAAGATATGCATTTTATATCCAATGGATATTTTATACTCAACATATAGTTTTAGAGAACTTTATCAGGCTTCAAAAGTCTACTTATATTATATTTTGGATATATAGTAAATTAGGTAGATGCCATCATCTTACATAAATATTAACAATTGGGTTTTTTTATCAGCTGCTAGATTCTGGTAATGTATTGAAAATTTAATCACTAAGATTACATGGTAATTTCAAATTCATTCATTTCTTAAGAGAAAGGTCAAATTAAAAATTTGGATAGTATAACTGGTAATACAATATGTCAACCCAGACTATAAGAAGTTACAGGTTCAAGTCTTGCTCTGGATTGATTTTCTTCAAGACATTTCTAAATTAATCAATTAAATTAAAATAGTTTATTTCTAACTATTTATATTTAAATAAAGTGACAGTATCTGTCTGCCATTAGGACAAATTAATCTAATAATTTGATAAAAAATAAAAAAAATTTGATGCAATTTGATTTATTGTTAGAAATTCATATTTTAGTTTATATTGTAAACATTCTAAGTTTTATACATACACATAAGTGAAAAATAATCAAATTACTATATTATAAGATTAATACTTTGATTCAAACAGAAGCAATAATATTGAATAAAAATGATATCGTTTGATAACTTAACACTAAAAACGATAACACTGACATTTGATATCGTTTTTAACTTGTGAATTTTTATCTATTATTATTTGTCTTTTTAATGAAGTTTTTCTTTAAGCCAATGTAACTGTTAACTGTTACTTCTGTGGTTGTGTTAATGGATAAAGAAAAGATTCGAAAATGTATATTTTTGTAAATTGTCTTAACATCAGTATACAGATAGATGAAATTTGAATCAATTTATCAGTTTTAAATTTGAGGTTAATTTTTAAAAATTTTTCAAATGTATCATTTACTTTATTGATATTTGTGTTAATGTTATTAATCTCTAAATACTTAGTATAATCAGAAAGAGAAAAAACTAATGAAATTGAGATATTAAATCATATTTTTATAGTGCAGTCTCTATAATTTCACAATTTCTGATTAAAAAAAATTGATATCTTATAAACTTCATACTATCACAAGTATTTTAAAATCTACACCAGTAATAAAGGATTAATTTAACTAAATTAATGCATTTTATATTAAATGTTTTCAAACTGCATTCATCATTGACAAGAAATTTGGATTTACATGTAAAATCACATTTTGATTTCATATCTAAAAGTGATTACTCACCTTGCTAAATTTTCAGAAAGAAGGAACTGGTTTTGTATATTCTGAACAAGAGGACCAATCATATCATCTACTACTTTATAAACTCTCTTGACATTATCAAACTATGAAAATAAAATGAAAATAAATTAATCTATTTCACAAATAAATGTTTGTTTCCTTAGCTGTTTTTATATTTCAATGAATATGATATACCAATCAATCTGATAACTTAGCTGGACTAATTACTGTACCTTTGTGAAATTTTTAGAATAATACTAATATTTTCAACCCAGTTAATAGGTCATTCTCAGGTGTCAAAAGTCAGGAGCAGAGTGTTAGTGTTGGAAGGAAGGATAAAGAGATAGATTCAGATAAACAAACAAGGGAAGTGGTGGTTGATATGAAAGAGTGTGAAGATATTGCCAGGCATGGGGAATGGATTCCTTGTCCCTGATGTTTATGCATGTGTTGGTAACACTGTTTATAAATTTCTCACTTCTCCAGAATGCTAGCACAGGAGGGATGAGAGACAGTTCAGATAATTTTGGCTGCCTGCTAACCTGATAATCTACTTCTGTGCTGGGACTGCTGGAAAGTTGTGCATAGGAAGACAAAACTGTAGTTGGCCTCACTCTTTTAATGTCCTCTTTGTGTTTATTGAGTATCTGATCAAAGGATCTTGAAGTGTAACTTACATACATTATGCTGATGCCAGTGTCCTCACTTATGGTCAGGAGGATAAATTTATGTAATACTCCACTGTTCCATTTTTCATCTATGGAGTCTTTATCATTTTGCAGGAGGCAATAGAAAATAGGGTTGTGTTGGTAGGCTATGCATTTACTATTATTCTTAGTGATGGATTCATGGTCAGGTTGGAGGTTTTTAGAGTATATGAATATGGAGGAGGAGGAAATAAGCTTGCACTTAGACATATTTTGTTGTGTGCAAAGTTCTAAATGAGATGGAGAATGACATGCTTCCAGAGGTCATTTTTCAGTGCTAGATAGCTGATCCTGTTTAGCTCCATATTCTGGTCCTTTGTCTTTCCAACACTAGCATTCTACTTTTGACTTTTGGTACCTGAGGATGACCTATTAACCAGGTCGAAAATGTTAATGTATTTTTCTTTTTAATTAGGCTAAATAAAATATTAAATTAATTTTGAAAATATTAACAATAATTATATAAATAAAAATTTTTTAAAATCTGATTAATTCTTTGTTTTATAATTTCTTATTAACTAGATATCAAGAGGAAAGACTACTTTTAGATAAAAATATTAAACTGTTACTATTATACAAATAAAACCAAAATACTGATATGAGTAAATTGGTAGAACTTTACTAAATGAATATTTTTTTTATCTAAAAAATTCTACCTGTCGCCTACAACTCTTGATGTGAATCCCAGTTTTTTCACTCACTTCATCTAGATCCTTTCTGTTACGAGATGATAATTTTTTACCTAGAAATTCTCTTATCACTGAGCTATCAAATTCATAATATCTGTAAAATAAATTATATTTATTATATGTATAATCATAACTTTTAACATTATACAATAAAATTTAAACTGTACATAAATATAATGATAAATATTGCATTATAAAAAAGTTTTTAAAAAATTTAAGAAATTTCATTCACTTATAGTAAATACTGATTCTCATTTTTATTAATAGGCACAATTATATTAAATTAAATAATTTATGGAATATAAAAACCAAGTCTGATTTATATTAATAATCAAATAATAAAGCATTATTCATTATACCATAACTTCACCAATAATTGGCCTTTAGTCCAAATTATGTAACATATTTGTATATTTAATTGACCAAGTCATAGCCTGATAAAGAATGAGACTTTTATCATTTAATTAGTTATGGAATATATAGGATGATTCATAATGGTGGAACCACTCTATAATAACCTATTGGTGACATTTTAAATCAGCCTTGAAAGTTATTTTGAAGGCCATTTCAAATATCATATTTGCTGTTGCAGATACATCGAATTTTCTAATTGTAAATTTGCAAGGAATGATGAAATTAGTCTAAATCTTGCTTGAAATGAATTTTATTGCTTAATTTTTCCATGAAAACATTATGAAATAATAAGTCAACTTTACATTTATGAGCATTCCAGGGTATCTCACTTCTGCAACTTATGAATGAATGTTATTCAGAGAAGTTTCTTTAACATAACAAAAGAAAAAACATTGCATCCAAATTTAATTAATGATGTGCTTAAAATGCAGTCCTTCAACACCAATACACAACTGATCAGAGGAGATGAGTGAATCATAAATGTTTTGTCTAACTTTTGCACATATTGCTGCAATTCTATCCTGGAAATTTGCAATGGTAGTAGTAGGAGTTGAATAGACTATTTATTTAGGTAACTCACAATGGAAAAAGTCCAATATAGTTATCTCTGGTGAACATGGTGGCCATTCCACAGATCCTCCTCTGTCAATCCAATGATCTGGGAAAACAAAGAGTAACCAGTTTTTAACCTTGGTATGATATGCTGGAATCAAATCCATCAATGGTAAATCTTTTATCAAGATAGTAACTATTTCTTGCAAAATCATATGCAAATATTGAAAACTACTCAATGAGTCTTCATAAAAAAGGGCTGATTATCTGTGTTGGAAAATACCACATTGCACGTTAATGTACCATAGAACTTGATGGCATTTTCTCTTAGAGTGAATTGTCATCTGCCCAATAATGTAAGTTGTGGGTGTTGAGCACTCCATCCCTGAAAAATTGAGCTTCATCAGTCTACAAATACAATAATATAAAGTTTGAATTGTCATCAATTTGAATTAAAATCCAATTGCAAAAATCAACTCATTTAGCATAATTAGTTACTTGTAATGTTTGATAGTAATAAAGATGATATGAGTGGAATCTATTTCTTTTCAAAATTCAAACTACAGATGATTGAGAAATCAGACTTGTGAAATGAATCTGATTGGGTTTGAGGGTTTGCATTAACTGCTGCTAATACCATAATAGGACTATCTTCATTTGTCCTTTAAGTTAATCTGTATGGTATGTTTTATGTGCAATATCTTTCATTTTTCAAAGTCATGGGGTTTTTCCACCTTTATGAATCACCCTGTATATAGTAATTTGAATAAATCATAATTGCCACAAATGAAGCAAAATTTTAAACTTTATTTTAAGTTTACTATTTACATGAACTTCATATAATTAAATCATATACTACAATAAATTCATACTTAAATGGGAAATATTAAAAATAATCCACGAAAATCTATCTGTACAAGTGTTATGTTCTTAACTACTCCACAAACGCTTTCAACCTCCACCGAGGTCTGCTTCAGGTGGTGACTGACCTTGTTTTGGTCAGTTTGACCGTGTTGATGGTCAGGAAGAAACACGGTCAGTCACCACCTGAAGCAGACCTTGGTGGAGGTCAAAAGCGTTTGTGGAGTAGTTAAGAACATAACACTTGTACAGAAAGGTTTTCGTGGATTATTATTATTCAACGAAGTGTTAAGTTGTTGGAAGTCATTTTGTGTTAGAAATATTAAAATACTGTAATTCTGCAGAATTATCTTTGAAATCATTATAATTTTTGAAATTACAGTAGAGCATCAATTATCCGACCCCCGATTAACCGTCACATTGGTTAACCGACCGTTCTAGTCGGTAAACTTCAAATGTCCGCTAGTGATGTGGCATTACAATATTTGACTATATCTTGGCTACTTTAATATTATTTTTGTTAAATTTTTGTGTGTTTTAGCTAGCATCAACGGCTCGACCATTGAAGGGAGGCCAGTATTTAAACAAGACTTAATTTTCTAATTATGGGTAGTTGTTTGTTTCATGAGTTTAATAAAATAATTTTAAAATAATTTTTATATTATTAGTTATTATAAAAAGGCAAAAAACTAGTTTTGACAGTAATGATAAGATTTAAAAAATATTGTAAATGCCAATNAGATATTACTTTTTAATATTGTTACATAATCTTATTAAAAATCTGAAAATTTAGTGTGCAAAAATTTTACCTTTCTATTAACATTTTTTGGATACTAGGTGTTATTTGGAAAGTCCATTGTTCAGAAAGTCGAGGTGGTGAATGTAACAAGCGTTCCAACATTTGGAAGGTTCTGTAATGATCTTGAACATCACTAATTAACATATCTAAAGGAATGGATTCTTGTTTCAATGTGCCTTGAAGAACAGAGGCTGCAGCATCTTGAGCTAAATTACATTAATAATAATAAAGATTTATGTAAATAATTCAGGTTTTCTATTACTTCTTTTAACAATGATACATTAAAAAGAATTTTGTGATATTTAGAAGTTACCCTTAAGATTGTCTTAAACTCTTTAGATAATCTTATAAATAAAATTTATATATATACTTTAATAAAATATTAAATATTTAAATGAATAATAAATTATCTCATTGATCTTGTATAGTAGAAATAAAATAAAAATACCTTTTTTCAATAATTTTTTTTGCATTAAAATGAATAAATTAATCTATAAAAGAAAATAATTTTGAGACAACTAGAAAGAAAAACTGTTTGACCACTAAATTAGAAAAAATTATATCTGAAGAGTTAAATTTATAGCATGAATGGACAAAATATAGGTACAAAAAACTGCCACTTAAAACTGGTTAAATTAAAATTAAAAACACTAAACCTATAAACCAGCAAATTTTTATAAAAAGTGCAAATGTTTTCACTGATGTTGAATGAGCCTCATCAGGCAAACTAATCCTCAAATGCTGAAACAAACGAGGGATTGACGAACACATGTGCAAAGGGAAGGTGATGTAAGACAAAAGAAAGAGGGGGGGATTTATAGTTTGAAGACTTCCACACTGTGGGGAAGAAGTCAACATTGCGAAAATTACTGTGGGGACATTAGTGAACCAAAGACAAAAATTAGCTGGTGACAGATCAGGACTATATGGAAGGTGATGCATTGTTTCCCAGTAAAAGTGCTTTGTGGCTACTTGCATGTGTAATGTTTGGACATGCATTATTATAAAGAAAGCTCACACCTTTGGTCAGCAATCCTGGGCACTTGTCCTTTATTACATGAAGGTTCATCAGGGTTTTGATATATTGTATATTGCTCAGCATTGACTATCTCCCTGTTCCAGAAATTCAATCAACAACACACCATGACGATCATTTGCATCATGCACATCATTTTTCAGCCAGCTGGTTTTCATTTGACTGCACCATATAAAAGTCAACTGAATAATTGTAATAAAGTTGCTTCTTTATACAACTGATTTCAACATCTGGATTAAAAGCTGGTTAACTTCACTATAGATTAAATCATTTGTCAAAAAAATTACTGTTTTCTTAATTTTAGTCTCACCTCATAAACATTTTATCTCTGTTAGAAACTGAAAAAACCAAATGAATCAGTTTTTCATGAGATATGATTCCAAGAAACATCTTTTGCAATACTGACAGATGAAAATCAACAAAAATTTAAAGGCAAAAATATCATATAAGGATGTTTAAAACCTACTGTTTTCCTGTTTAGAACAATGATTAAAGTGTTTATATGATGCAAAATGTATTGTTGACACAAAATTTTTTTTATAACATACTGTATTTATCTTCATATAAGACGAGGTTTTAATTCATTTATCACAGCTTCAAATTCCTAGGTCGTCCTATACATGCGAGCGAAAGATTCTTTGAGTTTTTGCAAATAATTTTGTGAACAGTGTATTTGCATTTTTTACCGGATTTTTTACCTCTTGTATTTAAAAACATAAGTATTTTATCTGGTTCATTTGAATCATTCTTGTATATTGTCAGGAAAGATGAATAGCAATAGGAAAAGCAAAGCTTTTGAATTGAATTCCAGATTGAAATTCCAAAATCACATGGTAGCCTGATATAAGTTTTAATCCATTCTCACGTGAAAAGAGATGATTATTTGGAAATCAGAATCCTGAGAAACTAATAAGTGTAATCGATGGAGAGTAGATTCTACTGTTAAGAATTGGCAAAAAAAGGTTCCCAATTGTCCAGCTTTACATAAACAAATTATGTACAAGATTTTTCCTTAAAGTTTAAAATGTTAGTAATTTTTGCAAAACAATGTGTGCATTTACATTTATTTGATATTTTACTTGTGATTAAATGAAATAAAATTAGAATTGTATTAATAAATCTAATTTTCTTTATTTTGATCTTTAAAGTCACACCTTGTCCTATATGAGAGGCCATCTTATATTCGAGTAAATACGGTATATTTAAACAATGTAGTGAATACTAAGCAGCATGTTTAAGTTCAAAATTATAGAGTCAAACATTTTTGAAAAAATATTATGCAGCATATCTTAGCAAAACTAAATTATTTACTAAATATACACAGTACATTAAAATGCTTTTGTTAGTAAACTGTTTGTAGAATTTTTTGAAAAAGTGCACCTTTTTTAGAATTTGTCTGAACTGACTAAAAACAGCATAGGGAAAACTTTGAAGNTGTAAGCATCGATGAAAATTCAACCCGAAGTTGGTTAATAGCGATATACTAATATCCTAATATCCTAATATACTATACTAATAATGTATTTTTTCCTTTTTTTCGGTTATCCGATTTTTTCAGTTATCCGACCAACCTGAGTCCCCAAATTGAGTCAGATAATCGATGCTTTATTGTAATTAATATTCACAATATTGATTTAAGAGATATTACTTTTTAATATTGTTACATAATCTTATTAAAAATCTGAAAATTTAGTGTGCAAAAATTTTACCTTTCTATTAACATTTTTTGGATACTAGGTGTTATTTGGAAAGTCCATTGTTCAGAAAGTCGAGGTGGTGAATGTAACAAGCGTTCCAACATTTGGAAGGTTCTGTAATGATCTTGAACATCACTAATTAACATATCTAAAGGAATGGATTCTTGTTTCAATGTGCCTTGAAGAACAGAGGCTGCAGCATCTTGAGCTAAATTACATTAATAATAATAAAGATTTATGTAAATAATTCAGGTTTTCTATTACTTCTTTTAACAATGATACATTAAAAAGAATTTTGTGATATTTAGAAGTTACCCTTAAGATTGTCTTAAACTCTTTAGATAATCTTATAAATAAAATTTATATATATACTTTAATAAAATATTAAATATTTAAATGAATAATAAATTATCTCATTGATCTTGTATAGTAGAAATAAAATAAAAATACCTTTTTTCAATAATTTTTTTTGCATTAAAATGAATAAATTAATCTATAAAAGAAAATAATTTTGAGACAACTAGAAAGAAAAACTGTTTGACCACTAAATTAGAAAAAATTATATCTGAAGAGTTAAATTTATAGCATGAATGGACAAAATATAGGTACAAAAAACTGCCACTTAAAACTGGTTAAATTAAAATTAAAAACACTAAACCTATAAACCAGCAAATTTTTATAAAAAGTGCAAATGTTTTCACTGATGTTGAATGAGCCTCATCAGGCAAACTAATCCCCAAATGCTGAAACAAACGAGGGATTGACGAACACATGTGCAAAGGGAAGGTGATGTAAGACAAAAGAAAGAGGGGGGGATTTATAGTTTGAAGACTTCCACACTGTGGGGAAGAAGTCAACATTGCGAAAATTACTGTGGGGACATTAGTGAACCAAAGACAAAAATTAGCTGGTGACAGATCAGGACTATATGGAAGGTGATGCATTGTTTCCCAGTAAAAGTGCTTTGTGGCTACTTGCATGTGTAATGTTTGGACATGCATTATTATAAAGAAAGCTCACACCTTTGGTCAGCAATCCTGGGCACTTGTCCTTTATTACATGAAGGTTCATCAGGGTTTTGATATATTGTATATTGCTCAGCATTGACTATCTCCCTGTTCCAGAAATTCAATCAACAACACACCATGACGATCATTTGCATCATGCACATCATTTTTCAGCCAGCTGGTTTTCATTTGACTGCACCATATAAAAGTCAACTGAATAATTGTAATAAAGTTGCTTCTTTATACAACTGATTTCAACATCTGGATTAAAAGCTGGTTAACTTCACTATAGATTAAATCATTTGTCAAAAAAATTACTGTTTTCTTAATTTTAGTCTCACCTCATAAACATTTTATCTCTGTTAGAAACTGAAAAAACCAAATGAATCAGTTTTTCATGAGATATGATTCCAAGAAACATCTTTTGCAATACTGACAGATGAAAATCAACAAAAATTTAAAGGCAAAAATATCATATAAGGATGTTTAAAACCTACTGTTTTCCTGTTTAGAACAATGATTAAAGTGTTTATATGATGCAAAATGTATTGTTGACACAAAATTTTTTTTATAACATACTGTATTTATCTTCATATAAGACGAGGTTTTAATTCATTTATCACAGCTTCAAATTCCTAGGTCGTCCTATACATGCGAGCGAAAGATTCTTTGAGTTTTTGCAAATAATTTTGTGAACAGTGTATTTGCATTTTTTACCGGATTTTTTACCTCTTGTATTTAAAAACATAAGTATTTTATCTGGTTCATTTGAATCATTCTTGTATATTGTCAGGAAAGATGAATAGCAATAGGAAAAGCAAAGCTTTTGAATTGAATTCCAGATTGAAATTCCAAAATCACATGGTAGCCTGATATAAGTTTTAATCCATTCTCACGTGAAAAGAGATGATTATTTGGAAATCAGAATCCTGAGAAACTAATAAGTGTAATCGATGGAGAGTAGATTCTACTGTTAAGAATTGGCAAAAAAAGGTTCCCAATTGTCCAGCTTTACATAAACAAATTATGTACAAGATTTTTCCTTAAAGTTTAAAATGTTAGTAATTTTTGCAAAACAATGTGTGCATTTACATTTATTTGATATCTTAGCAAAACTAAATTATTTACTAAATATACACAGTACATTAAAATGCTTTTGTTAGTAAACTGTTTGTAGAATTTTTTGAAAAAGTGCACCTTTTTTAGAATTTGTCTGAACTGACTAAAAAGAGCATAGGGAAAACTTTGAAGTAATATCCTACTTTCAGAGGTTACTTCCATATATGTTTGGTTTCTTTGCATAGAAATGCTATAATTTTTGCAATGCTTTGATGGCCTCTACAAAATCCAGGTAACAGCGGAACAATCTTACTTTTCACCAAAATTTTTAAAAATAGAAACATGGTTTAAACTATTATTGTTTGTTTTGTCAACTTATGGCAACACTTAAGTGATCTGCCTAGGGGATGCCTTCCAGGGTCTTTTTAAGAGTAACTGGTCCCTATTCAGGCGTTACAGGTGTGGAGAAAACCTGGAAAACTCCATGTGGCCAGCCTGTCCTGGTGAGGAGTGAACTCCCAGTGTTCAGGGAACAGAACCACTTGGCCACTGGTGGCTTAAACTATTATTACATAAACAGATCTATTATCTAAAGAAGTTTTAAATGCTGAATGATAATCAAAACTTGCAGTAAAATTAAAAAACAAGCTATTACATAACGTTTTTCATTGTACATTTTTCCTGATTTCTATTTACCTTACCTGTATAACCATTCAACCATAATTGGAATATTTCAGGATCTACGATAGTATTATTTCCAACAAAGACATCCACCTCAGCAAACATTATTTTTGATTTATTCGGTCTTGATATATAAAAATCTGTTGTATTGTGATGCTAGCAACGGAATTAAACCAAAGTTAAGAGGTTAAATGATTTCGTACAGCCTATCAAGGTATCTGTTGCATTTTTTTCATTCCCGTCATTAAAATTTGATTTTAATACAGTGTAAAATGCTGCATTTAATTTTATAAGTGATGTCACAGTACAATCATAAGCAAATTTTTTTTGTTTTTATTTTATTATTATTATTATTTAATTAATAAAAGCTAATAGATCAAAAAAAAAAAAAACGCAGAAACTAGGATTATAAGCTTGAAGAAACTAGCGACCTCTAGCGGAGAATTATATTATATACTATAATTTAGTTATTTTAATAATTAAAAAATAAAATAATTAATGAAATTAAATCTTCATATACTAATGATAATATTGATAGATTTTTAAAAAATTTGACTTAAAATTTGGGTTAATATTTTTAACTTTGTAAGAATTTTGTAAACGACGAATATTATAACCGTTTGATTATATTTAAAAACATAATTTATAATGTTTTTAAATATTTTAATTTGTTTTATCCAGTATATTATCTTATAAAATGTACATATGAATCAATTTAATTAATGAATTTAAAATATTTACGATTATTCTAATAAATCCGAAGGAATAATTATGGTTTTTTAAAGGATTTATCAATGAATAAAGTTATTTTCTAATTAACTAAATTTTTTACTATTAATATACAGTATGTACTGTACAATAAATTGTCTTCTTAATGTCCTATATTTTAATACTCCGGTCACACATGTTAAACGGAAACATGACCGAAACGGTAATGCCTTGCCGTGCCTGCATGGAAAAATGAAGAAAAAAAAAAGACCCGAATATACCTTTTTTCGTTTATCATTTTTCACTCTTTCCACCCTATGGACATTAAGAGCGCCTTATTTCCATACTTTTATGGATTCAACCATGCTCACAATGGAGGTAGCCGGATAGTGAGGAATGAGGTCCGACCAGGGGCGAATCTACATAAGGACCAATAGAGCTTAAGCCCTGGACTCTCAAGTGTCAAGAGCTCACAAAAATTGAAATATTATCATACATTTTAAATATTTTTTCATTAACAATTAGCACTTATCGTATAGTAAAAAAATAGTTAATGTTAATAATATAATAATAATGATAATTTATAGTATTATTTGTATTAACAAAAAATAGGGGCCCATTGGACTTCAATAAGCCCTAGACCCCGAAAAACCTAGATCCGCCTCTGGGTCCGACATACAGTATTAGAGACAAAATAAACTAAACATGAAAAATTTCTGTGATTACGCTCCAGAATTCGATTTCTGATGTCTCTGGCCTTTCGACATACCCATATGGTGCATGATAACTTTAATGACTTTTTTTAATGTTTATTGTAGTTAGATTAACGAAGAGTATTTTAACAGAGTAATGAGTATATTGAATGAGAAGAGCTGCTTCAGTTATGTTGCTGGGAGTTATTTTAAGGTTTAAGTTATTTTATTTGATATCAGGCCACCACTCTGGGGAACCTGAAATCAAATTTGGCCGGCTCGAAAAACTCCAGGAATTTTTTGGGAGGTGGTTCGTTCAGATGTTGGGCCCTGTCTCTCACCACTCGGCCGCCCCATTGTGGACTTGGCCGAACCCGTTATGTGCTTCCTAGAAAGAGGCCTTCTTAACTGTTCGGCCATCCGGCCGAACTATATAATTTAAATAATTTAAGAAATACGCTAAAATATTTGAAAATTAGTGTTATTTTAAGTAAGAAATTTTTATAAGATTTTTATATATTTTTACTATAAATATATATGATATAAAGACATAAATTGATTTTTATTGTATATAATAAATTGTCGTAAGAAGTTTAAAATAAGTAGATGGCGTTTCAATTGTAAATGGCGGGCGTTTCGAATTCATAACATTGAAGAAATAGGAAAAAATTGAAAATTGCGATATTAATGCATTATAGAAATTTAAATTAATATAAAAGTAATTTGTATTAAATCAGAAATCGTTATTAAAATGGATAAATTTAATCTTATTCGAGAAAATTTAATAGGTGAATTTGTATTTATTTATGTATTGTATATTTTGTGTTTAATGTTAGGTTTTGTAATTCTTTCAAATGAACTTTTCAGATATTGTAAAATGCTTTGCAAAAGAAAATTATCGAAAAGATTTAGAAGCCATTCTTATGATGCCCGATATTATCCATCATTATGCAGTTGTTGTTTGGTGAATATAAATATATAATTTCTTTTATACTTATGATAACGTGTAGAGCGGCTGAGTGCTTTGAAATTAGTGGCTGTGTTCAGCAGAGTCAACAGTTGTAACAGCAAAGGTATTTCAATTGGTAGTCGTTATGTAGTTACATCTGCTGAATGATGAGTGATGTATGCATTGGAACAAAAAGCAGCTATCATTGGTCAGTTTCAGGTAGCGTAAATGAAAGACACTGCTAAATGTGATATCAAAACACCAAACATGTTTCAAAACAGTGCTACTGTAGAGGGTGTTCAGCAGAAAAATACTTGACAGCTCTGGAACTGTTGAGTCTGCTGAAAACAGCCAGTATCATTTGTCTTGCATTCATTTGTCTTGTCTGCAAATGTATTGGGCTGTCATAAGTCCCATTTTTCACAAATAAAATTTTAAGTATTATGAGAAAAAGTTAAAATTTTGTAGTACATCCAGTTATTAAGATCTTGTTTGAACAATCACTTTGACCTTGTTGAAAATTAAAAATATTACTTCATTGTATAAATTACTAACATAAATTACTGTGATGTGAATAATGAAATGACAGCATGCAACATTCTTTTTGAAGCAGTCGGCTTGTCTTGAAAGACACAGTTGTTTATTTTTTTATTCTAATCATTAATTAATGAACTTAATGATTAGAATGAAAATTGATAGTGACTGGATCCAAACATTGGTACTTAATTCCTACGAACTAATAGGATGAACATATTGAGTGAACATAAATTTAAATCTGTAGTTATAAATAGAAAATTAAATTTTTATAAGTTAAATAAAAAGTTTTTAAAAGTGGTTGGAACTTTTTTATTTAATATGAATTACTGTATGTTTATCAAATCTATAATACTTAAAATGAAAGTAAGAAATAATTTTTATAGGTAAAATGTGTGTATATTAATAATAATCATAATTTTACTTGGTTATTTCTAAATGTATTTTTTCAAATTTTTATTAAATTAATAAATTAAAATATATTTGCAGTGCTAAGAAAATGTTTGATATTAATACTGAAATTGCACATTCACTTTTGACAAATGCTGATGAAATGTTAAAACTAATTAAAAATTCATTTAAACAAGCTGCTATAGAAATTTACAATACTCATTCCAATAAGGAAAAAATGGTAATATATTATTAATTTTATTTTATTAAAAATTATTAGTTGTATGAAAAAAATCTTTTTATATTTTGTTTAGGGTATTGTGTTAAAAAATTCTGCTTAATTAATTTTATTAATATACAGGGTGACCCAAAAGTCTAACAAAGATACATTTTTTTTAAAGATTATTTTTAAGAAATATTAAAACCAATTTGGAATAGATGAATGTTGAAATAGATTTGGAATACATGAATGTAAATCCTATTAGGAATCCTATCTTCTCAGGAAATCAAAAAGGATGTATGCTACTTTATTTTACTCAGATCTGTGGATTAAATGATAGAATAATAAACTGGAAATTTTACAATTAAAATTTTACAGATCGTTATTTAAACTGGATAGATCTACAGATAGTTTTTTAATCTGATCAGAGTTTGGTAGAATTCCTTTAGTAATGTGAATTATAAAATAAGTGATTATTTATTGGTACAGGTTAATTATGTTACCAAGTACTGATTTAAGGAAAATAGTACTTGAACAATTGTTAGAAATGGAAAGTACAAGTTAACTCACTTATAATGTCATCCACGGGACTGGCAATTTTTGACGTTATAACTGAGTGTCGTTGTCTGTGGGGTCATAATTTCAGTCCCCTAAAAGTACCAAGTAGTTTAAGAATCTATTATAAAATCCATTCTAATTTAACATCCTATGTATTACCGTAAAATTATTTCTTAATGGTAATACAGTATACTGTATCTATTATGATGATAATTTATTATTGTATGTATAAAAATGCAAACTACATGTTTAAATCAATTTATTTACATTATTATGTCTAAGTTTACATTGATGTAATTTCAAAAATTACCTTTTATAAGAAATTTCTATTTATCTTAAGTTTCAATAATGGCGGAACTTCTGGTTTGGAGAATAATATCAAATCAAAAGGCAACAAAAGGTTAAACTAATCTATGCCAATTAAAAATGGTTTAATTATTTCTTTATAAACTATTTGATATAATATGTTATATTAAATATAATAGAATATTTAACAGTTTAACATAGAGTAATTTAAAAATGAGTATTAATAACTGATAATAACCAATCATCACATCGTTTAAAAGTGTGGCAAACCTCACCCCACTGAAGTCAGGTGATGAGAGTACCACCCACAGTTATTTTAGGAAGTGGACTCTGACCTTAGGACTGAACTTGTAATATTTTCTTTGTTAAATAAAATTTGTAATCTAATTTTGTAAATTTGGGAGTGCCTCAAATATGATGTTAAAACAGGGTTTTATGTGGTTACAAGTGGGCTTTTTTTAGCATAATTTAGTATAGTAAAATCGTGGGACTGATAAAAATTTGACGTTATATTAGGGTTGTCGTTACATCCGATGATGTTATAATCAGGTTATTTCTGAGGACTTACCAAACAGAAGAAATGATAATTAAAGCAGGGTTGCCCTTAGAGTGGCTTAAATTATGTATCACTGAGAACTTTTGTAACATAGGATATTTGTTACAAGTATTTATGGATATATATTGGCGATAAGATTGTAATTATTTAGAAACAAAGACATAAATACAGAATCTGCATATATAGTGTATGTATCCATATCTGTTATCACAGCTTAAATTTCAAGTGAAGGTTATATACATGCAAATTAAATTAAATAAATTTGATTAATAGTTAATAATAATTATGTAACGTGTACAGGAAATCCTCATTAGTTCAAAATTCAGGGGACAAAATAATTGCAGCTTTGAATTATTGAGTTTTGAATTATCCAAAATTTACATATTTCTATACAGCAAGGGTGGCCAACTTTCATGTACATAAGATCTACTTTTTATCTTAAAAATGTGTCGCGATTGACTTGTTGTTGTAGGCATAGTCTAAGTGGTGAGGGGAGGAATGAAATACATACTATGTTTAGATAGGTAAGAAAAGCCACAATTTAATTTAAAACATGAAGAAAAGGTACTTACATTTTAAACAGAAGAAAAATTGAAACTCAACATTATCACTTTTGGGGAACACCACTTCACCCTTCCTCTTTCTACCGTTTCCCGACCACTCTCTCTGTCCCTCTTCCCGCTTTTCTTTTTTTTCGGTTTTACGATCCTTTGTCTACATTTCTTATTCCCCTTTTACAACTGTATGCAAATGGATTGCACATGGACTGACAAAACTGCATCTGACAGAGGATGCGGTGGTCCAATATCACTACAGTTGCATTACGCTCGGTTACAAGTGTAACACATTAATTCAAGACATCACGAATGATTGACCAAAATTGGCTTCGCGATCGACTTGTTGGCCACCCCTGCTATACAGTATGTCAAATGCCAAGTAACTGATGTAATTTATTAAACAAACAAAATATGGCTATGCATGCAGAAGGTTACTTTTGTTAATTAATAACTATTCATAATAGTATAAATAAACTGCAAGTAAACAATACATGTCCAATGGAAAAATCGCAGATTAACAGGTAGGTTTTATAAAAAGTAAAGCAGAATTCTCAAAATTTAGCCCATATTATTTTTATTAAAAATTATTGTTTTAAAATCAGAAAATTGTAGCCCAAAAAGTAGTAAGTTACCCAAATCTAGTAGCATAGAGCCCTACAAATATCTCATTCTGCAACTTGTAGTCCATTCTTGCAACCCTGACACCCAGCTGTATTTTGTGAGATAAGAGAAAAGGGGTAGTCAATGGATAAGTTGATACCCAAAAATGTGTTACTGTAAAAGCAAAGCCGTGCTGACCAGATTAGAGTTGTTTGTGATCTATTGTTGACAAGGCTATGTCTTGTTTATAAAATCGTACTGCCACCTGTTCTTACCAGCATAGAGGTATGAAGGAGTACATGTTGAGAGTTGATATTTGACACAAAGTATTAGGTGCCCAAATCATTTGCACATAAAAAAAATCTAGACTCATAGGTAGTCACAGGACTGAGAATCGAGTCAAAATAAAATACAAAATGATGACCCTCTTCTACAAACAGGCAAAATAGCCACTGAAGTCGGGTAGGGGAGAGTACCATCCACAGTCATTCTAAGAAGTGAACTCTGACCTTAGGACGTAGTTTCTTCTAAGTTAAATAAAATTTGTAATCTAATTTTGTAAATTTGGGAGTGCTTCAAATATGATGTTAAAACAGTTTTATGTTGTTACAAGTGGGCTTTTTTTAACATTATCTAGTATAGTAAAATTGTAGGACTGATAAAAATTTGACTGACACGCAACCCGGACTGACACGCAACAGAGAAATTTTGAAATTAGATAACTAGATGCCCGAAATGTGACTTGTAAATAGCGTCCCAACTGAATAAAGTGGTGAATAATCTGCCAAGTGTTGAATAATGTCACCATAGTGTGTCTGTAAAAAAGAAATTAGATGAGTTAATTTATTGAAGATGCATTGTGAACTATCTCGTGGTCATGGCCAGTGAAGTTTGAACGATTGCACCCAAAAGCAGCAATATCAAAGAAGATAGGAGAATGAGAATGAGACCTGCCTTGAGCATCAAAGTGATTCCGTCTCCGAGACATAGTCTTGTCCCAAATACAGTTTTGCTGTTTTACTTGTTTTCTTATGATATGGAGGCATGTGCACTTCAATCTGAATGAACAACTTAACATATGATATCACAGTTCAGACAGAATTTTCACTTTGAATTTTTAAGTAGCCATATTTTGAACTAACTAAATTCATTAACATGTAAATTCCTATATTCTTGGCCAGGAAAAGTAGTACAGTTATGAACTAATGGAATTTTGAACTGTCCAAGTTTGAATTTATGAGGATTTCCTGTAATTAAATTAATTATTTTAATTGAATGTACTGTGTTTATAGTATAATAATTTTACTATTATAATCTATTAAAATTATAATCATTTAATAAATATAATATATTATATACTAAATATAAATATAATAATATAATAAATATAGTTTATTAAAATTATAATAATTTTATTTTAGTGTTTAAAACCAAATATTCATGTACGGCTTTCTGAATTTCCTGCGTGTGCTGAAATTTATCGAAGTATACTCCCAAAATGTGCTGACATTGGAAAATTTGTTATTATAACAGGTATATTATTATCTATGAATAACTTTTATTTAAATTNCTGCCTAGGGGATACCTTCCAGGGTCTTTTTAAGAGTAACTGGTCCCTATTCAGGCGTTACAGGTGTGGAGAAAACCTGGAAAACTCCATGTGGCCAGCCTGTCCTGGTGAGGAGTGAACTCCCAGTGTTCAGGGAACAGAACCACTTGGCCACTGGTGGCTTAAACTATTATTACATAAACAGATCTATTATCTAAAGAAGTTTTAAATGCTGAATGATTATCAAAACTTGCAGTAAAATTAAAAAACAAGCTATTACATAACGTTTTTCATTGTACATTTTTCCTGATTTCTATTTACCTTACCTGTATAACCATTCAACCATAATTGGAATATTTCAGGATCTACGATAGTATTATTTCCAACAAAGACATCCACCTCAGCAAACATTATTTTTGATTTATTCGGTCTTGATATATAAAAATCTGTTGTATTGTGATGCTAGCAACGGAATTAAACCAAAGTTAAGAGGTTAAATGATTTCGTACAGCCTATCAAGGTATCTGTTGCATTTTTTTCATTCCCGTCATTAAAATTTGATTTTAATACAGTGTAAAATGCTGCATTTAATTTTATAAGTGATGTCACAGTACAATCATAAGCAAATTTTTTTTGTTTTTATTTTATTATTATTATTATTTAATTAATAAAAGCTAATAGATCAAAAAAAAAAAAAACGCAGAAACTAGGATTATAAGCTTGAAGAAACTAGCGACCTCTAGCGGAGAATTATATTATATACTATAATTTAGTTATTTTAATAATTAAAAAATAAAATAATTAATGAAATTAAATCTTCATATACTAATGATAATATTGATAGATTTTTAAAAAATTTGACTTAAAATTTGGGTTAATATTTTTAACTTTGTAAGAATTTTGTAAACGACGAATATTATAACCGTTTGATTATATTTAAAAACATAATTTATAATGTTTTTAAATATTTTAATTTGTTTTATCCAGTATATTATCTTATAAAATGTACATATGAATCAATTTAATTAATGAATTTAAAATATTTACGATTATTCTAATAAATCCGAAGGAATAATTATGGTTTTTTAAAGGATTTATCAATGAATAAAGTTATTTTCTAATTAACTAAATTTTTTACTATTAATATACAGTATGTACTGTACAATAAATTGTCTTCTTAATGTCCTATATTTTAATACTCCGGTCACACATGTTAAACGGAAACATGACCGAAACGGTAATGCCTTGCCGTGCCTGCATGGAAAAATGAAGAAAAAAAAAAGACCCGAATATACCTTTTTTCGTTTATCATTTTTCACTCTTTCCACCCTATGGACATTAAGAGCGCCTTATTTCCATACTTTTATGGATTCAACCATGCTCACAATGGAGGTAGCCGGATAGTGAGGAATGAGGTCCGACCAGGGGCGAATCTACATAAGGACCAATAGAGCTTAAGCCCTGGACTCTCAAGTGTCAAGAGCTCACAAAAATTGAAATATTATCATACATTTTAAATATTTTTTCATTAACAATTAGCACTTATCGTATAGTAAAAAAATAGTTAATGTTAATAATATAATAATAATGATAATTTATAGTATTATTTGTATTAACAAAAAATAGGGGCCCATTGGACTTCAATAAGCCCTAGACCCCGAAAAACCTAGATCCGCCTCTGGGTCCGACATACAGTATTAGAGACAAAATAAACTAAACATGAAAAATTTCTGTGATTACGCTCCAGAATTCGATTTCTGATGTCTCTGGCCTTTCGACATACCCATATGGTGCATGATAACTTTAATGACTTTTTTTAATGTTTATTGTAGTTAGATTAACGAAGAGTATTTTAACAGAGTAATGAGTATATTGAATGAGAAGAGCTGCTTCAGTTATGTTGCTGGGAGTTATTTTAAGGTTTAAGTTATTTTATTTGATATCAGGCCACCACTCTGGGGAACCTGAAATCAAATTTGGCCGGCTCGAAAAACTCCAGGAATTTTTTGGGAGGTGGTTCGTTCAGATGTTGGGCCCTGTCTCTCACCACTCGGCCGCCCCATTGTGGACTTGGCCGAACCCGTTATGTGCTTCCTAGAAAGAGGCCTTCTTAACTGTTCGGCCATCCGGCCGAACTATATAATTTAAATAATTTAAAAAATACGCTAAAATATTTGAAAATTAGTGTTATTTTAAGTAAGAAATTTTTATAAGATTTTTATATATTTTTACTATAAATATATATGATATAAAGACATAAATTGATTTTTATTGTATATAATAAATTGTCGTAAGAAGTTTAAAATAAGTAGATGGCGTTTCAATTGTAAATGGCGGGCATTTCGAATTCATAACATTGAAGAAATAGGAAAAAATTGAAAATTGCGATATTAATGCATTATAGAAATTTAAATTAATATAAAAGTAATTTGTATTAAATCAGAAATCGTTATTAAAATGGATAAATTTAATCTTATTCGAGAAAATTTAATAGGTGAATTTGTATTTATTTATGTATTGTATATTTTGTGTTTAATGTTAGGTTTTGTAATTCTTTCAAATGAACTTTTCAGATATTGTAAAATGCTTTGCAAAAGAAAATTATCGAAAAGATTTAGAAGCCATTCTTATGATGCCCGATATTATCCATCATTATGCAGTTGTTGTTTGGTGAATATAAATATATAATTTCTTTTATACTTATGATAACGTGTAGAGCGGCTGAGTGCTTTGAAATTAGTGGCTGTGTTCAGCAGAGTCAACAGTTGTAACAGCAAAGGTATTTCAATTGGTAGTCGTTATGTAGTTACATCTGCTGAATGATGAGTGATGTATGCATTGGAACAAAAAGCAGCTATCATTGGTCAGTTTCAGGTAGCGTAAATGAAAGACACTGCTAAATGTGATATCAAAACACCAAACATGTTTCAAAACAGTGCTACTGTAGAGGGTGTTCAGCAGAAAAATACTTGACAGCTCTGGAACTGTTGAGTCTGCTGAAAACAGCCAGTATCATTTGTCTTGCATTCATTTGTCTTGTCTGCAAATGTATTGGGCTGTCATAAGTCCCATTTTTCACAAATAAAATTTTAAGTATTATGAGAAAAAGTTAAAATTTTGTAGTACATCCAGTTATTAAGATCTTGTTTGAACAATCACTTTGACCTTGTTGAAAATTAAAAATATTACTTCATTGTATAAATTACTAACATAAATTACTGTGATGTGAATAATGAAATGACAGCATGCAACATTCTTTTTGAAGCAGTCGGCTTGTCTTGAAAGACACAGTTGTTTATTTTTTTATTCTAATCATTAATTAATGAACTTAATGATTAGAATGAAAATTGATAGTGACTGGATCCAAACATTGGTACTTAATTCCTACGAACTAATAGGATGAACATATTGAGTGAACATAAATTTAAATCTGTAGTTATAAATAGAAAATTAAATTTTTNCTGACAAAACTGCATCTGACAGAGGATGCGGTGGTCCAATATCACTACAGTTGCATTACGCTCGGTTACAAGTGTAACACATTAATTCAAGACATCACGAATGATTGACCAAAATTGGCTTCGCGATCGACTTGTTGGCCACCCCTGCTATACAGTATGTCAAATGCCAAGTAACTGATGTAATTTATTAAACAAACAAAATATGGCTATGCATGCAGAAGGTTACTTTTGTTAATTAATAACTATTCATAATAGTATAAATAAACTGCAAGTAAACAATACATGTCCAATGGAAAAATCGCAGATTAACAGGTAGGTTTTATAAAAAGTAAAGCAGAATTCTCAAAATTTAGCCCATATTATTTTTATTAAAAATTATTAGTTGTATGAAAAAAATCTTTTTATATTTTGTTTAGGGTATTGTGTTAAAAAATTCTGCTTAATTAATTTTATTAATATACAGGGTGACCCAAAAGTCTAACAAAGATACATTTTTTTTAAAGATTATTTTTAAGAAATATTAAAACCAATTTGGAATAGATGAATGTTGAAATAGATTTGGAATACATGAATGTAAATCCTATTAGGAATCCTATCTTCTCAGGAAATCAAAAAGGATGTATGCTACTTTATTTTACTCAGATCTGTGGATTAAATGATAGAATAATAAACTGGAAATTTTACAATTAAAATTTTACAGATCGTTATTTAAACTGGATAGATCTACAGATAGTTTTTTAATCTGATCAGAGTTTGGTAGAATTCCTTTAGTAATGTGAATTATAAAATAAGTGATTATTTATTGGTACAGGTTAATTATGTTACCAAGTACTGATTTAAGGAAAATAGTACTTGAACAATTGTTAGAAATGGAAAGTACAAGTTAACTCACTTATAATGTCATCCACGGGACTGGCAATTTTTGACGTTATAACTGAGTGTCGTTGTCTGTGGGGTCATAATTTCAGTCCCCTAAAAGTACCAAGTAGTTTAAGAATCTATTATAAAATCCATTCTAATTTAACATCCTATGTATTACCGTAAAATTATTTCTTAATGGTAATACAGTATACTGTATCTATTATGATGATAATTTATTATTGTATGTATAAAAATGCAAACTACATGTTTAAATCAATTTATTTACATTATTATGTCTAAGTTTACATTGATGTAATTTCAAAAATTACCTTTTATAAGAAATTTCTATTTATCTTAAGTTTCAATAATGGCGGAACTTCTGGTTTGGAGAATAATATCAAATCAAAAGGCAACAAAAGGTTAAACTAATCTATGCCAATTAAAAATGGTTTAATTATTTCTTTATAAACTATTTGATATAATATGTTATATTAAATATAATAGAATATTTAACAGTTTAACATAGAGTAATTTAAAAATGAGTATTAATAACTGATAATAACCAATCATCACATCGTTTAAAAGTGTGGCAAACCTCACCCCACTGAAGTCAGGTGATGAGAGTACCACCCACAGTTATTTTAGGAAGTGGACTCTGACCTTAGGACTGAACTTGTAATATTTTCTTTGTTAAATAAAATTTGTAATCTAATTTTGTAAATTTGGGAGTGCCTCAAATATGATGTTAAAACAGGGTTTTATGTGGTTACAAGTGGGCTTTTTTTAGCATAATTTAGTATAGTAAAATCGTGGGACTGATAAAAATTTGACGTTATATTAGGGTTGTCGTTACATCCGATGATGTTATAATCAGGTTATTTCTGAGGACTTACCAAACAGAAGAAATGATAATTAAAGCAGGGTTGCCCTTAGAGTGGCTTAAATTATGTATCACTGAGAACTTTTGTAACATAGGATATTTGTTACAAGTATTTATGGATATATATTGGCGATAAGATTGTAATTATTTAGAAACAAAGACATAAATACAGAATCTGCATATATAGTGTATGTATCCATATCTGTTATCACAGCTTAAATTTCAAGTGAAGGTTATATACATGCAAATTAAATTAAATAAATTTGATTAATAGTTAATAATAATTATGTAACGTGTACAGGAAATCCTCATTAGTTCAAAATTCAGGGGACAAAATAATTGCAGCTTTGAATTATTGAGTTTTGAATTATCCAAAATTTACATATTTCTATACAGCAAGGGTGGCCAACTTTCATGTACATAAGATCTACTTTTTATCTTAAAAATGTGTCGCGATTGACTTGTTGTTGTAGGCATAGTCTAAGTGGTGAGGGGAGGAATGAAATACATACTATGTTTAGATAGGTAAGAAAAGCCACAATTTAATTTAAAACATGAAGAAAAGGTACTTACATTTTAAACAGAAGAAAAATTGAAACTCAACATTATCACTTTTGGGGAACACCACTTCACCCTTCCTCTTTCTACCGTTTCCCGACCACTCTCTCTGTCCCTCTTCCCGCTTTTCTTTTTTTTCGGTTTTACGATCCTTTGTCTACATTTCTTATTCCCCTTTTACAACTGTATGCAAATGGATTGCACATGGACTGACAAAACTGCATCTGACAGAGGATGCGGTGGTCCAATATCACTACAGTTGCATTACGCTCGGTTACAAGTGTAACACATTAATTCAAGACATCACGAATGATTGACCAAAATTGGCTTCGCGATCGACTTGTTGGCCACCCCTGCTATACAGTATGTCAAATGCCAAGTAACTGATGTAATTTATTAAACAAACAAAATATGGCTATGCATGCAGAAGGTTACTTTTGTTAATTAATAACTATTCATAATAGTATAAATAAACTGCAAGTAAACAATACATGTCCAATGGAAAAATCGCAGATTAACAGGTAGGTTTTATAAAAAGTAAAGCAGAATTCTCAAAATTTAGCCCATATTATTTTTATTAAAAATTATTGTTTTAAAATCAGAAAATTGTAGCCCAAAAAGTAGTAAGTTACCCAAATCTAGTAGCATAGAGCCCTACAAATATCTCATTCTGCAACTTGTAGTCCATTCTTGCAACCCTGACACCCAGCTGTATTTTGTGAGATAAGAGAAAAGGGGTAGTCAATGGATAAGTTGATACCCAAAAATGTGTTACTGTAAAAGCAAAGCCGTGCTGACCAGATTAGAGTTGTTTGTGATCTATTGTTGACAAGGCTATGTCTTGTTTATAAAATCGTACTGCCACCTGTTCTTACCAGCATAGAGGTATGAAGGAGTACATGTTGAGAGTTGATATTTGACACAAAGTATTAGGTGCCCAAATCATTTGCACATAAAAAAAATCTAGACTCATAGGTAGTCACAGGACTGAGAATCGAGTCAAAATAAAATACAAAATGATGACCCTCTTCTACAAACAGGCAAAATAGCCACTGAAGTCGGGTAGGGGAGAGTACCATCCACAGTCATTCTAAGAAGTGAACTCTGACCTTAGGACGTAGTTTCTTCTAAGTTAAATAAAATTTGTAATCTAATTTTGTAAATTTGGGAGTGCTTCAAATATGATGTTAAAACAGTTTTATGTTGTTACAAGTGGGCTTTTTTTAACATTATCTAGTATAGTAAAATTGTAGGACTGATAAAAATTTGACTGACACGCAACCCGGACTGACACGCAACAGAGAAATTTTGAAATTAGATAACTAGATGCCCGAAATGTGACTTGTAAATAGCGTCCCAACTGAATAAAGTGGTGAATAATCTGCCAAGTGTTGAATAATGTCACCATAGTGTGTCTGTAAAAAAGAAATTAGATGAGTTAATTTATTGAAGATGCATTGTGAACTATCTCGTGGTCATGGCCAGTGAAGTTTGAACGATTGCACCCAAAAGCAGCAATATCAAAGAAGATAGGAGAATGAGAATGAGACCTGCCTTGAGCATCAAAGTGATTCCGTCTCCGAGACATAGTCTTGTCCCAAATACAGTTTTGCTGTTTTACTTGTTTTCTTATGATATGGAGGCATGTGCACTTCAATCTGAATGAACAACTTAACATATGATATCACAGTTCAGACAGAATTTTCACTTTGAATTTTTAAGTAGCCATATTTTGAACTAACTAAATTCATTAACATGTAAATTCCTATATTCTTGGCCAGGAAAAGTAGTACAGTTATGAACTAATGGAATTTTGAACTGTCCAAGTTTGAATTTATGAGGATTTCCTGTAATTAAATTAATTATTTTAATTGAATGTACTGTGTTTATAGTATAATAATTTTACTATTATAATCTATTAAAATTATAATCATTTAATAAATATAATATATTATATACTAAATATAAATATAATAATATAATAAATATAGTTTATTAAAATTATAATAATTTTATTTTAGTGTTTAAAACCAAATATTCATGTACGGCTTTCTGAATTTCCTGCGTGTGCTGAAATTTATCGAAGTATACTCCCAAAATGTGCTGACATTGGAAAATTTGTTATTATAACAGGTATATTATTATCTATGAATAACTTTTATTTAAATTCATTTATATTTAGATGCTTAAGTTATAGTGGGAAACATTTTTAAATGGAAAATCACATATCATTTCAGAGTGATCTCAAGGCTGCACGTAATGCAGATTGCATAAAGATATATATTCAGTTGAATGCTCAGAGTGCCTTAATAATAATAATAATAACTCTCCCGTGGTCTCCAGATGGTTGTAGTGGGAGAGCCTAGTAATTTTACTGATTCATAGGGCAATGTAGGCTGGAGCACAAGCTCCTGGTAGGGACATCCATGCCAGTAAGGTCTATGGGGAGAAATGAAGCTAAGAGTGACCACACCCACATTCTGTGGAGATATTTATCATGGTAGTAACCAGATCAAAGTGTGATACCATCTCAGACGTCGCCCAAGTTAACAAGGTCTGCGTTCGTGGGTTAGGCAGAGGCTCATGTTCGAAAAATAGGCCACAGTCTCCCTTGGTTACCAGTGGCAAAAGCAGCATCGACCCAAGCATGGCTACTGCAATGCCCTCAATAGATGTGAGGAATCAACCTAGCCTTGGTATTTCTGTGGCAATGCATCCACAGACCACAAAGGCTGGAAAACCACACCAACGAATGAAATGGGCAACAGAAATGAACGAGTTTATCATCCGTACTTACTACATCATCACAAAACTCGAAACAAACATCACAGCATACAGACAACAACTACACCATAGATTCACACAACAATATCCTCACCTCACTGTCACCGAACAAAGGGTTGTCGATCAAAAAGAACAATTATACACAACAACCTTATCTCACAAACAACACTTGAACTTATCAAACAACAAGTTGCTGATAAAATACATCAATAGATACAAACATTTAACATTATTAATGAAGATCGTGTAACCTGTCAGGATAATTCAGCAACAAGCATTGATAATAGCACACATACAACAACTACCACTAATGATACTACAGACACTTTCTCATCCATCACTGATAACACAGATGTAGGTTTAGTTAATACACTCACTTATATTTCAGGAAACAATCACTAAATACACAGGCACAGATCCCACACAAAGACCACGAATACCGAAAATCAACACGTCAAAGGTAGTAGGAAAAACACTAAATTATGTAAACACTCACTTACTACCAAACTACATTCATTCAATTTCTACACTCTCAGACATTCATACATTAGTTTATGCTTGGGCAATCACAGTAGTAACACACCATGGACTGAAAATACAATCGCAGACAAACACACACAAAACACAATTCTATCACAAGCCTTCCTGGCAGAGAAGAATACAAACACAAATAAATGACATAAGACAGCAATTAGGCAGGCTGACACAATACACTAAAAACAACATAACACCCAAATTAAAGAAACAACTCAAAAACATTTTCAAGAAAATCAAAACACACACAAAACATGAACATCACAACACACACATTACAGAATACATCGATACACTAAAACAAAAACTCGCAGCCAAAGCACGTAGACTCAAACGATACAAAACATGTACACTACGAAAACAACAAAATAAATTATTCACAAACAATGAAAAACTTTTCTACAGACAAATCAGTACCAAAACAAACACTGATACACAGCACAGTGGCACACCAACAGAAGAAGAACTCACAACTTATTGGTCTTCTCTTTGGTCCAATGCTGTTACACACAATGCTGATGCAGGCTGGATCGAGGAGGAGAACAGAAACTTGCACAACATACCAACTATGCCCTGTGCTGAAATAAACGTACACGACATTCGCTACGCTGTTAACAGAACACACAACTGGAAGACACCTGGTGTAGACAACATTCACAATTTCTGGTACAAAAAGTTTACATCACTGCACCAGGAACTAGCTAAACATCTAACACACATCATCATCAATCCACAAGACATGCCAAAATTTCTTACTCAGGGCATCACCTACATGAAACCTAAAAACAACAACACCACAGACCCCACACAATACAGACCAATTACATGTCTTCCAACACTCTACAAATTATTGACATCCTGTATCACAAACAAAATATACAAACATGTTGAAGAACACGACATTCTTACAGAACAACAAAAAGGTTGCCGTAGAAATCACAGGGGATGCAAAGAACAGTTACTCATAGATTCAGTCATTCTACGGCAAGCACACAAACAACACAGAAACATACACATGGCATATATAGACTACAGAAAAGCATTCGACAGTGTTCCACACAGTTGGCTGCTACATATTCTACACATGTACAAAATACATCCATCACTCATTGCATTCTTCGAAAACACTATGCAGCACTGGAGAACAACACTACATCTCAGGGTTAGTAACACTTCCATACAAACAAACGAAATATTCATTAGGCGAGGAATTTTTCAAGGAGATTCCTTGAGTCCTCTCTGGTTCTGCCTAGCCCTGAATCCATTATCCAACATGTTAAACAACACGCAATATGGCTACAATATCAGACATGAAAAAACAACACAGTTTACACTGTCACATCTCATGTACATGGACGACATAAAACTTTATGCATCCACACAAAAACAACTTCATCAACTCCTACAAATCACACATTCATACACTAAGGACATACAAATGGAGTTTGGCCTAGACAAATGCAAAAAACTTCACATAGAAAAAGGAATCCTGAAGAAAGAAGATTTTGCACTTGGAAATGGAGACGTTATTGAATCCATGGAAGAGGGCGAGTTCTACAAGTACTTAGGATTCCAACAGGCCAAACTAACAGAACATACACAAATAAAGCAACGATTAATTAAAGAATACCAAAGTAGGTTAAACGCTATACTTAGAACACAGTTAAATGCAAAACACACAGTTAAAGCAATAAACACATATGTCATCCCAGTACTCACATACTCTTTTGGAGTTATACATTGGACTCACACAGATCTCGAGCAACTCCAAAGGAAAACAAGAACAACACTTACTAAGCATAAACAACATCATCCTAAATCCGCCACAGAAAGATTAACCCTTCCACGTAAAGAAGGCGGACGTGGCCTGATTGACATAGTTAACCTTCACTACAAACAAATACAGTCACTGCGAGAGTTTTTCTACAGGAAACAAGAAACATCACAATTACATAAAGCAGTAACTCTGGCAGACTCAAATAACACACCATTAAACTTACACTCACATCATACAGACATGACACAACATATAAAAAGTATAGACACCATTAAGCAATTGTGGGCTCAAAAGGCACTCCATGGCAGTTATCCTTATAACCTGGTTCAGGATTTTGTTGACAAAACTGCATCAAACAGCGGGTTAGATCGGGGACGCCTCCCTGGGGAGATGGAAGGATACATGATTGCCATATAGGATCAGGTCATAAATACGAAAAACTACAGAAAACACATACTCAAAGATGCAATATTCACAAATGACACATGCAAAAAATATCACATTACACCAGAAACTATACAGCACATTACTTATGGGTGCAAGCTCTTGGCACAGACAGATTATTTACACAGACACAATCAAATAGCAAATATAATACACCAAGAGCTTGCAAAGAAACACAAATTGGTAGACATCCACGAACCATACTACTAGTATATACCACAAACAGCATTGGAAAACAACATGCACAAACTGTACTATGACAGAGCCATAATCACAGATAAAACAATTTACCACAACAGACCAGACATCACACTCATTGACAAACACAATAAAATCACATACATTATAGACATAGCCATTCCAAACACT